AAAATTTTATTGTAGTATAGTTTAACAATGAAACACAATGACAACATACACATATATACAGGTAACAAATCAACTGTGCATTCATTGATACCCTTATTTCAGGTGCACTAAGAAACGTGATTTTTATCACACCCGCAATATTCTTTGTTTATAATGACTTCATTTTTTATTATTGGTCACCTGAAAAAAAAAAGTAGAAGCAATGAAACAATAAGTTCCTATATATCTAATACACTGAAAGACAGAGAAACGTTTATGAAAAATTTATTCTTTTCATGTCTGTTCGACAAATGTGAAGTTCCCTGAAACAGAAACTATCAATTATTAATTTGGTTCAGGTGTATTTATTAACAAAACACGTTCGTGCTATCTAGTGAATTATAAAGCAAACAAACTTAATAATTACGATAACAAGATAAACAATGTTAACAGTTCGTAATATGGTAGATATTACTATTTCCATGATTACTGACGGTTATCTATCTATAAAGTTAGGCCATTATCAGATATATGATTTTTATATAAACATTTTACAAAAATGTCAGTTCATTTGCCAATAAAGCATTGTATTCCAAAAATTATGATTTCCAAAAAAAGATACTTTGCAAAACGAAATATAAAGATTTGCTAAAATATCAGTTCTATTATATTAAAATCATAGACTTGTTCACAGAGAAGCTGCATACCAAATATTCTGACTCTACATCAAGCCATTTGGAAATGACAATGAAAGTGCAGTCATGACTTTCGCAAACTTCAGGAAGCCTTCAGGTCACTTGAATTGTAATTATGTACATAAAAAATTATCTTACTTTAAAGCATTTAATGCTCTATCAACATATATATGGTATATTACATATGGTACTTAATGCCATTTGCAAAACTGCTTTAGTTGGAGTCGACTTTCGTATAAGGACGCGGAATCGTACCCTTTCATGATTAATTGTCCTGGCATGGCCAGGTAGTTAGAGCGCTTGACTTGCAATCTGAGGGTCACGGGTTTGAATCCCCGTCCCACCAAGCATGCTCGCTCTTTCAGTCGTTGGGGCGTTATAAAGTGACTGTCAATCCCACTATTCGTTGGTAAAAGAGTAGCTCAAGAGTTGGTGGTGGGTGGTGATAACTAGCTGCCTTCCTTCTAGTCTTATAATGCTAAATTACGGGCGGCTAGCGCAGATAGCCCTCGTTTAGCTTTGCGCGAAATTCAACACAAACAAACAAACGTATGATTCATGCCATATGTGAATTTTTGTTACGTTTACTAATAAATAAGATTAACTATGATTTTCACAGTTTTTACGTGTTAATACAAATTCTACAGTTAGCTTAGAGTTGTTGGTGTTTAATATAATAAGGTAGGTACAAGTTTTCAGTTATAAAATTAAACTTATTAATCACTTTTTAACATATATTAATAGTAAAATACATTAGTAAAAAAAAGTGACATCTCTTAAAACTGAAATGAACAATGGATAGTATAGCACTATCAGTGAGGGGTCTTACAAATTAGTACTAGAGCAGCTTGAATGAATTATGAGTATATCATGGGAGAATATTAAGCCCAATATCATGTAATTGTTTTAGCTAAAGATGTTCATAATTACATATTTAGAAATTGATTGGATATCTCATAACAATTGGTTTTCATTTTTAAAATGTTTATGTTTAATTTCAAGTTCTGCACACATTATTAACATGTTTATAATATTGTTCGTGATTATGTTGAAATGTAAATGAATAAAAAAGATAATTGTTAGATCTAATACGTTTTAGCGAGTCATTTATACATCTCACACACTTAAATCTGTTATTTCTAAAGCAGTCATACCCCTTTTTTTTGGTTGGTTGTAGTTATGCACAAAGCTACACAATGGGCTATCTGTGGTCTGCCCACCACGGGTATCGAAACTCGGTTTCAAGCGTTGTAAGTCCGCAGACATACCGCTGTGCCACTGGGGGCTTTTTTTTTGTCAATTCTAGTGGATATACAAGTAGGCCTAACTTTTGCAGGACTAATGTATAGGAAGTGGCTATTTAATAGAATGTTTTACAAGTAAAGGAATGAAATAAAACAAGGATTACGAGCTACATGTAAGTTATTAGCTTGTGCTCTGAGCTTCTTATGAGTCACTTGTAACTAACACTTTCTCTAGGTCACACTAAAGTTATTAATATGTGCTCCAAGTTGCTCAGAACTGTTGGGTATCTGCTTATTTATTTGTTTCCGGTAGAAATTCTTCCCGAGGATATTCAGCGATACAAGTCCTTTCTTGATTAAACTAGTTTATTCTTCCTCAATACAAACTTTAATACACAGTAATTCCACAATCAGTACGTTTCTCGTCACTTTAAACTTAACAACTTTTATAATACACGCTATAAATCACAGCGACTCACAATTTCGATAACTTCGCTCTCGACGAGTACAGAACACACTTTTTCTGCCAGGCTTATATATTGAAAAAGAGGGCATCTCGAACAAATTCGGATTTCCCCGATAATTCGAAAAACTTCATGCACACTACCTGCGCCAAACGCGCCAGCAGCGTCACGTGACTTCCGCGGTCGTTACACTGCCCCTACCTTAGTATTGTTCGTCCCGAACAATAGCCACTTACATTAACCTAATAGATAATTAACAATAACTTAATTAAATGTACAGAATTTACAAACACAAAATTAAAATACAACAAAGTATCATAATTTTACGGTACGTATCTTCTTCCGTACTGGTCTCCGTCTCATTGGCTTCTGCTTCACGTGGGGTTCATCTGCTCCATCAGGAAATGTCCCATTATCGGTAGCAGTCACATTAGTGGTATTAACTTCATTCACGGCTTCACTGTTTTCCCTCTCAAAACCGGGTAGAGTAGTTTCTTCCTCAACAGTGGCTTTTTCAGGTGACACGTCTTCAGCAGCGTGATTTGTTCTGTTGTTCACTTCGTTCCAACTGAAATGTCCTGGACCGAGATAATGCCAAAGCCTGTTGGCATGCACCACCTTTGGCTTACCTCTCCGACCACATTTTATTCGGAAAGTCAACAAATTTATAACAAATTTGTTCATGAAAAATAAAAATATTATTTGGACTGCAAATTTTTCTAAATACCTCTTATCTGACAGAAACAGTATTTCAAATTTAGTAATAGTTTTTAAACCAAGTTTACATTCATAATTCTAATTTGATGTATGAATTATTTTGCATCAAAACGTCTTCACCAGACTGTAGTAACTACACAAACAGTTCAAACTGCAGTTATCATGGCTGTAACCCTTTCATAAAGTAAAAACTGAATATAACATTATTTTGGTAATTTTTTTAAAATTCTGACAGATATCTATACTTACACATCCTATGTGTATTATATGTGCCCAACCTTAACTTGTTAATCTTGTCGTTAGGTAGCGTCTTCTCAAATTTTTAGGTTTAAGCTTAGAACTTGTCCATCTTTCATATACTTAACAGCTATCTCAGCTGATTGTCCAGTGTGCTCGTTAAACCTTCAATAACAGAAGGTCAGTTTCCATGATGGTGGTGATTGGTATAGTAGTTAATAAAACCAGTACCAATATTAGTTAACAACTGGCTGAAATATAATTATGAAGAATAAAAATTTCATACATTTAACCAGTTCCTCTGTCATATGATGAAGAAAATGTACACGCCATTAAGAATCAACTGTATTACATTAAAAGTATATTATTATTATTATTATATTTTCATGATGTATCATAAATTTTCCATTCATATTTCAGCTTTACAGTTTGTGGAATTGTGTAAATTGTTTACAGTTCTCAAGCCATTCCTTTGAAATAATGGTATATGACACCTTCATTTATCTGTTGTGTGTATTTGCAGTTTTGATACCTTTCGTCTTCATTTTTTTTTCTTCTAACTTTAATTTCCTGCAATTATTCTATTATAAATATGTCAACCAACACTTTTTGGAGCCAATAATACCACTTATGTGATTTGGCATTATTTTATTAAGGCTACTTGTTACCACTTATTTTGTTAAAAATTCTATAAAACTACATACTTTCATTCAACTTCAGATCTCTCCTAATTTTAACTTGAAAAATATCAAACTCACCAGTGCATTTCCATTCCAACTTTTCTTGAAATCTTTAAAGCTATAATATTTCAAACACAAACTTTTATTTCATATGCATAAATATATTAGAATACAAGTAATACTATTAAATGTATGACTACTTCATGCCATATTTTGCTTCAGGTAAGAGCTCTCAAGAAAATTTAATAATCAATGTGATTCATATACTTTGCAATTACTTAATTGAAGACTAATAATCCAACACTGCCTTAACATTATTAATTTCCTTCAACTGTTTTGCATGAATTAAAATATAACCATTTCAGCTTAATTGATTAGTATCATGACTCAAGAAAATAATCAACTATTTGAAATTAGGGTTTCTAATAATTACTATTTTTGAATATTTCAACTCACCAAGTAATCAAAATATTGCATTATGTTTGTTGTTAAACACAAAGCTACACAATGGGCTATCTATGCTCAACCCACCATGGGCAATGAAATTTGATTTTTAGCATTACTTTTTAGCTGTGTCATTAGAGAATAATGGATACATTTTATGAATGTAATTGATTAATGAGCCAAATGACTAATCAATTAACAATTTCCATTAATTGCCCTACTCATTGCATACTACAAACAAAAATTTTACTATACCTCTCCATTTCTGAATTATTAGCTTATCAATGGATTTCTGAATCACCCTGTATATATTACCTTGTTTATGAATGTGTAAAGGAGATCAGTATGTTTGTTTTTAATATTTTACCTGTGCACAAGAACCATTTAATTTATATTATACTTCTAACCATTTAGTTAAAAACTGTTTTATAAATTATATCATTAAAACTTGTCTTCTGTGTTTTGTCTGTATACCAATCCATAGCAAAAAAATAAATTAATGTATTTTGCTTTATACAGTTTCTACACAAACACACAAGCTCAAAGTATGGTAATTTTCTATTTATTTTCTCTTTAACTTGTAACAGAACATTTCTTGATTTTTATATGTTTCAAGTGCCTTTTTCTTACCCAGCTTTAATTAGTATTATTCTGTAATTTATATAGCATACTAGAGCAGTGATTAGTCCATTCAACAGCTTGCTGACCATAGAGTGTAAAGATGAAATGCTCCTTTCAAATGTACTGTCAGAGTATCCAACAATGACTGGAAGTATAAATCATATGGTAATGGAGAAAGCAGTTGTCCCAATAAGATAAGTTAGAACTCATATTTGTCTGTTAAAAATCTGGAGAGGCTTCTATATACTGCTACTTCTTTCATGATGCTAAAAAAAATTAAATAATGGAATTATTAAAATCACAAAATATTACTAATATTATTGCCACTACAAGTGTAGCTGCAACACTGTACACACACACTTGCACTCAAAACAATCACCTAACTAACAACAAGAAAAAAGAAAAGTCACTTACTGAGAAAGAAACATTACTTTATTTCACATTCAACAGTAAATATGTCTTGTTGTTCCTGTGCAGCTATAGTTGCTACAAAGACATTTCACGTTCTCTTGAAACTAAGCAGACTTGTTCTCGGTCCTTTCTTTAGATAGCTTGGATATACGTGTAATATAAACAAAGTACTAGAGATGGAAAACTTTTTATTTGTAAGTGTAATAGAAGAACTTAGTGTTTCAAATACTTTGATGTGATTTTATTTGATGCTTTGCTATGGTACATAGTGTCATTCTAAGTAATTACGTGTAAATTCAGGAGAATTTATCTATTAAGTGGAATAGAAAAGTACCTCTATTAATCATGAATGTTCACAGTTCTGGTACTTTGTTCTGCAAACAATCTTAATTGCATAAAATGCCTGGAATAATACTTTTAGATTTTGGACAGACTAAAACATAAAATACATATAATCTAGTGGGGTACTTTTGCAACTAATTATTATTTTAAGTCAAACGAAATAATTGTTTTACTGTCATCATCAATCAATCATGAGAGGCATGACATAAATTACATAATTTTAGACTGTACGCGAGCAGTAAATAAATGAAAAGCATGTTAAGAAAATAGGTTTAGCTACTAATTTCTACACAATAATTTTTGGCATTATTATCATTAATGTTAACATATTTTACACTGAAATTCTAATGCTCAGTGTACCAGTCTATATACCCCACAAATTTTGTGCCACTTTTGAACATGTATATAGCATGTGATCACCTTCTACTAATAGTACTGTGCCACCTATATTGGTACAGCTAGCTCCTTCTGATTCTCCCCCTTAATCCTCACTTTTGAGAATTAGCAGAATCTAAAATGAATAACACTGGCAGTAGGATGGAAGGGTGGGAACTTTGAAAAATGGAAGGTGTTTGACACAACCTCCCCATAGATAGGCATGGTTGAAGCAGACAAGCCTTTGTCAAACAACCAGGTGAAGAATTGGAAAAGATAAGGAACAGAATGGTGGGAAGTATAAAAGCCATGCTGAATAGACCAAAGTTGGAAGGTAGACCATTGCGTTTAATAAATGGACATGGAAGGTCTGATGGATAGGGAAAAGGAAGAGGAAACACGTGGAATCGGTCCCTGGGCTGAGGCAATGTACCATACAAAAGCTCAGCATGAAGATGGGGGTGTGGAGACATATGGATGAACAATGTCTAATCAAGGTTGATGGAGAAGAGGCCAAGATAGAGGTAAGGGTAGGGCAGGTTGTACAAATAAAAGGTCAGAGCACAAGGAACCATGGTTGTATGATTAGACATGGAGTGGTTTGGATTAGGGATAGAACTCCAGAGAGGAGTTGAATAGTAGGGTAAGCATAGATGTAAGGACCCTTCCAAACTTGACTGAATGTGTCCACCCAACCCCAGAGCTAGTGGGTTCGGAATTGAAGACCAAAAGGAAGGAAGATTTGTGTTTCATTGGGTTTTGAAAGCATCAATTTGGGTTGAGATAAATGATCCACAACCAGATTTAGGGCACCAGAAACATGGCAAGACCATCCATATGGTTACTATAGGCCCAGAAAAGGAGATATGGGACCTGAAAGCACATAGACCTGACTTTGTTACCCCTTGTTTGGTGATATAATTGACCACTGTGGAGTTGTCGGAGTGTACCATAACCACCCTCCCCATTGGAGAGGAAGGAAGTGGGACAAAGCTCAATGAACCACTATAAGTTTGATAATAAAGATATAGAGAGAATACTCAAGTAACCAGAGACCAGAAATTTCCCAAATGTTGAGGTAAGCTCCCAACTCTCTAGAGAAGCATCTGGGAACAGATGTAAATACAGAAAAGGTGGAGAAAGCAGAGCCCTCATCGTGATTTGGTCTCTGTCTAGCCATCAAGCCAGGCCAGCCCTGATTAGGGAAGGATGGGTAAAGGTGTGGTCCAAGGGATCTGAGATGTAGAGTGTGACAAACCAAAATAAGATGGTGTCAAAAAAAGAGAGTCAAAATTGTCTTCTCCTTGATTGTATTGTTTCTCCGCAACATTGTGAGGTTGAAAAGGAGAAGAAATTGCCAGCAGAACATATGATTTAGCTACTCGCGAATTAAGGCCTGTACCTCCTCTGCATATAAGTTCACACCCAATTCCAAGGAAGTCTCACCAGTAGCACTGTTGACTGTAATGGGAACTACAGTAATCGATACAATGAATCACAAATTCATAAGAAGTCCTTGTATAATTCAGTAAAAAGAAACAAATCAAAAAATATCATTGAAAAACTGAATGCAAACACAAGTAAAAGAAAACTATTGAAAAAATGAAATGGCAAGTAAGCACAATCATAAACAGTAGCAACACGCGAAAAACACACATCTAAACTAAGCTGTACTAATCGAGAAAGTGAGGATTCAGGGAGCTAGCTGCACCAATATAGGTGGTGCAATACTATTGGTGGAGAGTAGTCACATAATATGTACATGTTCAAAAATGGCACAGAATTGACTGGATATATAGGCTGGTGCACTGAACATGTTTTTTTCTTAGCAATGCTTAAAGGGCAGAAAGATTGAGATAGCTTTGTGTGAGAAAGGTAAGACCGTATCAGAAATGGCAGTCACATGTGAAAAAAACATATGGCTAAAGCATGCTGTGCCAATACAAAAAGTAAGGATTGAATGGGAGAATAAGAGGGAACTAGCTGCAGCAATATAGGGTGGTCATATGCTATAAACATGTTCAAAAGTGGCACAAAATTTGTGGGATATACAGATTGATTTGGTGAGCATTAAACAATTGTTAGCAATGCTTAGGGAATAAAAAGAAGACTGAGATAGCTTTATGTGAAAAGAGGTACAACCGTGTAAGAAGAGGTAGCAGTAACCAGTACAAAAAAATTACTGATAGCAAAATCTTGAAAAAGGTGTAATCCTTAAGTTATAACAAAATCTTTTTTGTAAAAAAAGAGCTTGCAGGTAGCACAAATATGTATGAAATATATTTACTTAGTAATGAAGAGTTTATTTGTTAAAATTATCTTTTTTCTAGATTAACAGGTTATTAATTTGCACTTTACTATATGTGAAAATAGAAAAGGGTCTCATTTTAAAAAATAACAAATTAATGTATAGTTCACATGTAGCTGAATAAGAATGTCTTTTCACATGTGAAGCTTTTGTGGCATTTCACAATATTCCAAGTTCTTCTAGAATTGAGAAAATATGCATCTCACAATAAACACATATATGCAATAAGAAGAAATATTATGCCCACTTAGTGAATATGTAAAAGAAGTTATATAACAGTGAATGACCAAAGAAAGGAAAAGTGTGTCAGGTATAAACCAAAGACACATTCTAGTTTATACTGAAAAATGGATGTTTATATTATCTTTAAGTTAATGCTATCAACAGCTGTGATAATGTTCATGTAAGCTTCATTAGAGGCTGGACATGAGATGTACATCTATAGACTGATGCCATCATAGTAGAGAGAAAGCTAAAAGAAAAAATTTATATTAACTTGGACACAACTTCCAAGAATGGGATTAGTCAGAACTTTGATGTTAAGGACACAAGAAGAGATACAAGCAAACAGGTTGTCAATTTACTTTCTTCGACTACAACCATTGAAGCATTTTTGTTTTTAGTTCCAAGAATCACGAAGAGTTTGCAAAAATCACTCAACTGAGTGTCAAATCTACTTGTGGGTTAGATGTGTACACCATTTGGAAATTATTAATGGTTACAAAAGATATGGTATAAGAACCCCTGTTTTGGGCTAAAAAATCATTCTCCTGGCTCATATGAAGAAGCAACTAGTCCTGTTGCCAGTTTGTCAACTGAAACCTTTACAGTCAGTCTCCTGGCACTGAAGTAGAATCCTCTGCTGCTGCTGAAAAATACTAAAGAGGATGAAGACTTCAGTTCTTCAAAAGGTCCAAAACACCTCTTCAATTTTGATGTAAGTAACAATTGCAATTTCCCTTAGAATGAAAGAGAGTAATTAGGAAACTGACGTAAAATTTTTAATTTTAAGAAGAATTCATAAATTAAAGTATGTCTGAGCACATTTCCAATAACATTCTAACTGAGAATCTATTTATTATAGTAAGTAACATGATGAAGATTGAAGAAAAGTTGATTAACGAAATAGTTGACCTTTGATGCAAAAGTTGTATCTTGTATTGAATATATTATTAAAAATTTGACATTTCTAAACCATGGACTTGGAGTCAATTCTTTAGTCTAACTGTAAACTTCCTTGAATTAGTGACTTGTGCACTTCACTCACAACTGTATACCTAGATTTAACCCATTGAAGTAGGTATGCAACTCTTGTGAAAGTTCTCTACAAAAATGAAACGAGTATATGAAATTCTTTTAAATTTGAGATGAAAGGTTCTATAACTATGTAGTTTTTGAAAAATAAGATATTTAATTTTGATTTTTTTTTCTTAAGCAATGTTTTTCTCATGCCATTTTTTTCTTTTTGCATGTTCCCTATCTAACATGCAAAGTCATTTTCATTTTAAGATTAAAAATACTTTTATGCACCAGAGAATTTTCAAATTTCACATGCAAAATCTTTATAATGTTCAGATAGTTATCAAATGTTTCATAAAAAACTTCATATTTTATCTGTTATTTTCAATAATGATTCTCTATAAAGGTTTGGTAGACTTGACTGATCTCATAACCATCATAAATAATTAGGAAATAAATATAAATTATGCCTCTTTCATTCTAGAATGACAACAAATTATAACATGAAAAGATAAATGTTTAGACTAAATAGCTTAAATCTCATAACATTATACATTTATATATATTTATTATTTTTATCATATTGACCTT